TTGAAGAAGGTATTTGTTATCAGAAGTTCTCTAACATGACAGAACTCTACCTATAATTCCTTATTCCCAGGCCAAAACTCCCTGTGTGTGCTTCGACCTTGACTTTGCCTACTTTTGCGTTGAAATGTCCCATAGGTACTGTAATATTATTACGATTTATGCTTCTAAAGATATCCTCAAGTTCAGCATACAATTCTTCAACTTCATCGGCCTCTTTATCTGCTGTTGGTGCATACACCAGTGTTTGGAAAGGTTCTTCATGGTTTCAATACTTTTTGATGGTTAAACTACTATAAGCCCAACATCCCGATTGATTGGTCGCCAAGGAGGTGTAGTTTAGTGGGTATCCCCTTGGGAGAGTGTCTGGTTACCTCAGAACAATATCCACGCGACAATAGTGAAGTTTCCTATTGGGAGCGTCATAATATACGGTGTTTGGTACATCGATAGGAATATTTCACTGAGTGATAGTTGGGGTCATTAGAAAGCTGTTTGACCATATTTACCCTCATTCAAAGTTTCACCGTTTTTTTTGAAAAATCGCCATGATTAGATATTTTGAATCCATGTAGTTTAACACATAACTTGGGCTACTTTTTTTTGTATCAATCATTCGGTTTTTCTCTCCCTATTTTTCGGAAGAGTGCATATTAGGAATATCAGAAAAAAAAACTTGAGAAAGGTTAAAGTGTTTACTACAACATGGTTTAGGAAACATGTTGTACTACAACATGATTTAGGAGATGCTGATATCTCAAAAACGACGAAACTTTGCATAAGGGTAAATGTGGTCAAACAGCTCCCAAACGACCCCAACTATAACTCATTGGAAATTTCCTATCGATGCACCAAACACCCTGTATATTAAGAATGCAACACAGTAAACGTGCTACAGCTAAATCTCTAGTTTGGAAAACAAATCTCTAGTTCTCACTGGGACCTTTTTTTATTTGGTAATTGTGAAAAGCAGAGCTTGTCATCTGACGGAGCTCAGGCCCGTCTACTGGCGTTTACTCTGTTGTCCAGAAATGCTATGGGGTCTCAACACCTGGAAGTTACATGGTATGTTCTAGCACTGTCGAGGACGTCCACGTCCGTTCAAATCATTGGGCGTCGTTTTCTGGCTCGTAGAGTAGTGAGCAACAGTACGATAGTACAGCATCACTGTAACGGTGAGAAGGCGTTCCTGTATGGCAGAACTGATCGGATACGGTCACAACTACTCTCATTTTGAGCAAAAAATTCTTCAACATAGAATAGGCCTTCTCTATAAGGCCACGAACTGCATTAAGCCCTCTCTCGCCCTTCAGCGGGGCTATAGGAATGTAGATTCGTCAAGTTATGCACCCAATCTTCAACGAATTGTAACCGGTCAGACTTATTGTCTTGCAAGAACTTTGTTCTAGTTCATTTCATTGTAATCTTTGGGCGCCATACCTCCTCACAGCATCCCCATCAATACTTGAAATTGAAGCCACTCAACTTCTCCTTCTTCAGGATTCATCGTAAAAAAAGGATGCCTGGAAGCTTACGCCTGCAGAAAAGGTAGGTTGAAATGTTCTATCTGTGTGTTCTCTGATGAAGACATGAACACCAACAAACCCATATTTTCTGTTGAATGAAAAATGAAATGCCATAATCGCTAAAATGACCTACTAAAGACATCACAAAGGGAGCCATTTATCATACCCATACCTTAGAAAGGCATTCAAAAAATTAACTTTAAAGCTTATAAAAAATATTAGATAATATTGTCACGGATTCCGGGATCATTAAAACTATCTTTACATTGAAACAAATTGACTTCATAAATTTTACTTATCAAAACCTACACAACAAATCTCTTTAAGCTGAATACTACAACACTCTCATTTAGACAGCTCACAACAAAGCTCTTATTTAGACTGACTCAATACACACTACTAAGCGCTACTTATTGTCGAAATCGTACTCCGGATCTATCTCGAAAAACATGTTTATCGATTATATTAGAATTCCCAGAAAAGACGTGAAGAACTAATTTCCTAGAATCCTAGTCGGGTTGTCGATGCATTTTCTAACAATAAATAGTGTGTTTCAAAAGTCTGGGAGCGGCCAAATATTTCCAGAGCGGCATGAAATAGAATTACGAAACTTTCTGCATATGGGTAATTAATGATGCCCGATTCCATGATGATATAGAGAATGTTGCCAAGTTTATCGGGTTTCAGATAATACACGTAACTTCCTTTTTTTTTGAATAGGAATACTTACTACTTTATTTTCATTGCAATAAATTCCACGTCTATTGTTAGTGAAACCTCCAGATATCATATCCCTATTTTTCGCGGTTTCTGAAACATGGCAACACAACCTTTTTGTTCAAAGGTCTGGCAATGGTCAAATAATTTCCACAACGGCTCGACATTATGATTACGAAATTGAATCGGGCATCAATAATTACCTACTCTTCTGCTTAAAATTTCGAAATCCTATATCAACCCGCTCTGGAAATATTTTGACGGTTACCAGACTATTAAGACAAACTGTATAATTTACAGTGTGTTGGATTTTCTTGGCATGCAGATGCAGACGTTTCAATTAAAATTGATGATAATTTTTTTACCTAGGATTTGAACCTAGGACCCTCGCATATCCAGCGCAACGCTCTACCAACTGAGCTACCAAGACCTGTTTCATTTCTACCTTGTCGGTCAAGTCTTTCATCAATTTTGAGTTATTAGTTGTGAAGACCAACGGCAACCTTCGGCGGTTATCGTTGGTATGGAAGTGAGTCCCATCCCGCTGAAGTCGCTATATTATGTCGACGACGCATCCGTGGTTGAAGGAGTAATGGATTCCAAAAACAGCCATCAATTGCGAATGTGTTCCCCTTATACCTTCTAACTCACTCCCATACTAACGATAACCGCCAAAGGTTGCCGTTAGTCTTCACAACTAACAACTTAAAATCGATGAAAGACTTGACCTACAAGGTAGAAAAGTAGCAGGTGTTGGTAGCTCAGTTGGTATAGCGTTGCACTGGATATGCGAGGGTCTTGGGTTCAAATCCTAGTCGAGGCAAGAAAATTTTCCGTCAATTTTAAATGAAACCTCTGCATGCCAAGAAAATCCAACACTGTAAATTATATAAGAGACTATAAAACTTGTAAAAATTATACTGCATAATATTTCTTGAACACTAGTTAAAAATAATTAGGATTTTGACGCCGCTGTAACTTGTTCTACATAGGAGTTACAAATACATCTTGTATACGAAAACTGTTTTAGTTCAGTATTTTCAAATTTGTAATCGAACATTTTGTTGTTGAGTTTTAATCAGAGATCAGAATCTATAAATCCTCTTCCAGAATGTTTCACTAACCCTCCTTTTGTAGAGCGAAAAACTCGTCTGGCAGGTTAATATTAAATTCATTTGAAATAAATCTCAAAAACACATAAGCGCTCAAACTGAGAAGCTGGATCCATTTTTCAATTTATACGTACAAAACCCAACATCTTATTCCAAAAACACCGTCAACCGAAAATACCATTATGCAAAGCCGTATTCGATTACATTACAGTTCGAATCTAAGAACTGTAAAATGGAAAACAATAAGCACCCGTCTCATTTCCATAATGGAGACCGTATATTTTACGCTAAATGGTGCATATCTAAAATTATATATTTCATACCGCCGGTAATGTACACTGAGCAATCTAGAAACGGGCGCACTTGAGCTATAAAAGGCGGTATCTTTACGCGTGCTGTAAATTTATTTGTCAGATAGATAAGCTCTAGTACCTTAAACGTGAATCGGAACAAACACCTAATTTAATTTATATTTTTAGAGTAAGTATGTCTCTATGGCTCTAGTAAGGTTTAAATTTATGTGAGACTTTTTTCAAATAATATATTTTTTCTACAAACGTGTTAAAAATGCAATTTTTAACACCCCCCCGTAGCATTTAAAATGTTACTTTATCGCACTAGTGCCATAAAGTGTTTATAGCACTAGTGTTAAAAATGAAACATCAAATTTTGAGAGCGAACGTCAAAAAAGTTTGTATTTTTAGTTATTTACATTGATATTAATGGTGAAATTTGAAAAACTGAGGTAGCCTGATTGGCCGCCTCATCTATATTTTTCAAGGGATCGATGCAACCCTCTTTTTCTTCTGTACCTATTTTGTTGCATTTTTAGCAAAAAGCTTCACTGACCACGACAGACATTCAAGAAACTGACAAGACATTTCATTACCTGTAAAACAAGGTGCTGGTTGTTTGGATTTTTTGACAAATGTCAAATTCAATAATTTTATCTACAAGCGTGCGGTAACTAAGGAATATTATATTATATGATTTTGCGTGCGGTAAGTACCACATTACCGCACGGCGTGCGGTAATATTATTACCGCACGCTTTACCTACATAGGTACGTACCTTTAATTACCTACCAGAGATAAATTACCTACCTATCCCCTGAATTCTACTTGTCCGCTGTCAAAGGTGACAGACGCAATTTTTTTTTTAATAGTTTTTTAAATTTCTCTCGGATATTTTGTTACCGCACGCTTGTAGATAAAATACTGTATATAATACGTATGGTAATTAGGTTATTACCGCCCTTAGAGATCGCAAACCTCGCCTCACCGGCTCAGTTTGCAAATTTCTGTCGCGTGCGGTAATAACCTAGTTACCACACTTATTATATAATATACTAATATGTAGGGCAGATGCTTCCAATTTATTATTCATTTAAAAATCCAATTTGTTAGGTACTGGTTATTGCTGTTTAATGCCTTTTGTAGAAAAAATATTGTATGATATTTTTGTTAAAAGTATTTTTAAGGCACATATGTGAATTGCAGAATGAGCGAAGCGAAACTTTCACATGCGTGCCTTAAAAATGTACTTTTAATACTTATATCATAAATAACTATTTTTCGGTAGTTACCTGTCGGTCAAACAAAGGAGGATTATCATTCACATCAGTAATTTCCACAGTAAACGAACAAACCCCCTCCAAACTTGGTTCTCCTTGATCTGTAGCTTTAACGGTAACTGACACGAATTTTCCATCATCTCCTTCTCTATCGAATACTTTATTTGTGGAAACTTCACCAGTTTCCTCATCAACCGTAAATTTGGTGCCTTTTTGGTTAGGCTGCTGGACAATAGAATATTTAACTTGCCCATTAACACCTTTATCTTCATCAGTTGCATGGACCTAGAAATAGAACTTACCAAAAATATTGTCCAAAAAAAAATGTGTCACTAACCTTAATCACAGGAGACCCGTTCGGTGCTCCTTCTTCAACTTTAGGATAATACGTTCCGCAATCCTTGAATATGGGCTTATTATCGTTAACATCCGTAATAAATACAACCACAACAGCAGTGCTAGTGTGTATTGTCGAATCGCCATTGACGCAACAAGCGCCATCGTCCATTGCTGTTACGTTCAGTTCGTATTTGTCACGGTCCAGCGAAATTGGTTTCGAGTGTAGACGAATTACGCCGGTTATTTCTTCTATGACAAACTGGCCTGAACTTGTTCCACCACCTAAATATATGTGAAGTTATTTATGTTATCAGGTCGATATTTTAGTAAGAGATTTCTTGTAAGTACTGGAGAATTTTGGAACTGAATTGAGGTCGATTTCAAGTGTTGAACTCAGTAAAACAAATACCATGATGTAGATTTAGATCTGTTTTTATTAATGTTTGTAAAAATTCAGTAGAGAAAGATAGAGATTCTTACCAACAAATCCGAATCGTACATTATCGCCGTCCTTGTCAGATGCCACAACCGTAGTCACCAAAGTATTGGGTCCAGCGTTCTCATCGACATTAGGGGTGTACACTTGTTGGGAGAACTTGGGCTCTTCGTCATTTTTGTTTTTAGTGTATACTCGAACCTAAATAAAAGATATGTTTAAATCAATTATTCATTACAATCTATACGACAGCAAGGTAAATTTGGCAGATGATTTGCGAGTCCAGTGATAATTTTATTTTTAATGAGTGGATATTTGAAAATTATAATTGAATATTTCTTATTGTCACGAGGCAGACATATAATAATACAGACATTCGCGGGCATGTCATTGATCCTTTGAGTGCCACTAAGCGCCTACTAGCAGACAACACAATTACGGGGTATTCATCCTCTCATTAGATTAGAGTTTATTTTAAAGATATTTCACCAGCGGCTTTTGTCTAGAGAATTATTAAATTCTCTTCAAAACAGCTTCTAAGAAATGTTATGTTATTTACCGTAGTTCTAGTAGAAATGTTCGCTATACAATCAAAATGGAAATAGAATCCATGTGCTTTAGGCTTATTTCCTAGAAATGGTTGGGATTGGGAATGCCTGTATGCTATTTATTTTCAGGCAAAGAACAGGTCAAAAATATTTACCTAGGTGCACAGAAGGTACCTACTTTTCTGACTACTTCCCAAATAATAGTAGAACTTCAACAGTGAGTTTGTAGTCCTAATCATTAATTCTATATCATGCAAATACAAAAACTATCAAAAAATTAATGACGTTTTCTTACCGTTGCGGTACCAGTTTTGGGTGGTTCTCCCTTGTCCTTGGCAGTAACAACAAATTCATAGTAAGCATTATTATTATCAGCATCCAATTGTTTGTTATTGCTGATAATGCCGCTAGGGTCCACGCTAAAATGATCATCGGAGACTAAATATTCGATTTCTGCGTTGGTGCCAGAATCAGCGTCCATGGCTTTGACTTTGAGAATTGATGTACCTGAAGAAATATTATTATTTGTATAGAAAAAATACTAATGTAATATTAGGTTGTACCTGGAGGAATATCTTCATCTACATTATGAGCTTGATAATCCGGAAGCTCAAATTTGGGCGCATTATCGTTCACATCCGTAACTCTGATTGTTAACTGAAAATAACAAATGTTGAAATGTAGGACAATCATAAAAAGACAAATGCTCGACAGCACTTCCACTCCTAGAAAATCCCCATAACAAAACTTTCCGAGGAAACTAGCTACGATAAATAAAAGACGGATCTATCATACTCAGCACTTTTCTGGGCGCAGATTTGCGAAAGAAGATAAAGAGAAAACTGATATGTAGTTTTGTAAAATATTTTTGAGATTTATGATGAGCTTAAAATATACCAACGGAGAAGAGGACATATATAAAAGTAGTGCGACTGTCGACTGATAAGTATGACATAAAAGATCATGGCTTTTCGGTTTTGTTGGATGATTATTTAAGGTCATATTGAGAATTGCAAAAATATGTAGGTAGGTACTTTTAGTTTTGAAGAGGAGTTTCTAGCACATGAAATAAAAATAATGCAGTAGATTTTCATTGTTGACCAGACAAATTGAATTTACTCCTTATTTTAATTCTTAATCGAAGATACATACACATTAACTAAATCTCACCTCAACAGAAGTAGAAAACCCTCCAGAATCCTCCGTAGCAGTAACAACCAGAGAATAGACGTGAGGCTGCCTAAGATCCTCAAAATCCAACTCCTTGGCCAATTTCACTATACCTGATGTTGGACCGATATTGAAAGTTCCCGCTCCTTGACCTTGTGCTTTCAGAGTGTAACGAATCTCTCTGTCGGCGAAAGATTTTGCTTTGACAGAAATAATACTGAAAAAAATAATAAGAAATTCATTTATCAATACGGTCTGTCGGCACCTGAAAATTATTATAAATTTCAGCCAAAAATATATCACATTTCGTATCCCACGCCAACTCCTAAGCCATCTAATTTCAGCAATTTCTGACAACTAATTACATAAAGCTTAAAGCAACATGGCCCCTACACCAAAAGTTAGCATCGTTCCAGCGTCCAGACAGGTATGTTCTTGACGCTTTAATTTCTCTCCCAGCCCTCTCTAGTTGCGGTTTGTTAATATCCAGACTCTAGATATTTATTCAGTTCTGTAGCCATCAAGCAAATTATTTACTTACTCCGAATCCTTTTTCTGGTTTTCTGGTATTTCAGCTTCGTAGCTCTGCATATAAAATTGTGGCGCCCTTTTACCGCCAACAATCGAAAGCCGTTCTTCCGGTGTACTCTGGAACCGTCTCTCGTCCAATCTACCATTTTGATCTTCCGCTTTCACATATAAAACGTATTCCATGTCCAGCTGGAACAGGTCAGTGCCTCGAGTTCGGACCACACCGGATCTGCGGAGTAAAATTGAATTTTAGCCCTAAATCGAAACTAGCAATGGAAAAGTTCACCTTTCGTCAACTTCAAAGCGTCCCCCAGTTCTATCTCGAACGATAAAGTAGTGGATGTTGTGATCGGTGTCAGGGTCTCGGGCTTGCAGGGTGAAAACGGGGGTGTTTGGGGGTGCGTTTAGTTGCACCACAGCTTGCATAGGTAAAGGGCGGTTAATAAAATAGGGCGGTTCGTCGTTGACGTCACGTACGTGGATTATGACACGCTGATTATCAGTATCTGAAAAGGCAACACAATATTTAGATATATGATTTCCAAGTCTTCATTGAAAATATTATTGATTCCTCCAACCGAATATATTGTTATGCATGCACGGGAATTTGATTTTTCTCATAAAATCGTACAAAATAACATAAAAACTCGACACTATTTCCCTTTTTTACGAGCACTCGTGAGTATCTTTTATTCTGCAATGCGGTTAGAGTGGTAGTTCCCAAAGTGGGAGATAACGCCCCCCAGTGGGCGCTACAACCATCTCGGGGGGCGGTAAAGGGCTCAGCTGATTTTGGGGGGCGGTAAGCATAAATTAGTGGGCGGTGGAAAATAAACGAACAGATCAGAAAAAAAATTAAAATTAAATAGTAAATGGCTTTTTACGGAAATTACTCTTCAATACTATAAAGATAAGGCTGATAGTCAGTCTATCTCTATGCCTTTCGGAGTCAATTTTGGCAAGCTTCCCGTTATGAACGCAACCCGAGAGTTCCGGCGCAAATCCCGAAGTTCGCACGCACCTCAGCTAAGTCTGCTATGACTTGCTTAAAATGCGATACCGCTAATACACGCATTGATCAGCAGCAGCTGCGTTAAAGTTATTCTATTTTACTTATAAATAACTTCAAAAAGCTCAAAAATAAGCTCCGTCAAGTTAGCCCCCCCCCCCACATTCGAATTTCCTAACAAAATTGCAACTACTTTGAACTGTGCTGTTCTGATACCAAAGTTATAGGAAAATTTCATTTTTTTTTTCAATTTCAAATAAGCTTTATTGTCTCAATTTAAAAAAAAATTATTGACAAAGCAGTTTCTAAACTAAAAAATATCAAAATTCAACAAAAATATCAAAAACATAGAAATGAACAATTGTACAAAGGATAAAATAAAAATAAAAATAAAAATAAAAATAAAAATAAAAATAAAAATAAAAATAAAAATAAAAATAAAAATAAAAATAAAAATAAAAATAAAAATAAAAATAAAAATAAAAATAAAAATAAAAATAAAAATAAAAATAAAAATAAAAATAAAAATAAAAATAAAAATAAAAATAAAAATAAAAATAAAAATAAAAATAAAAATAACAGTAAGAATAAAAATATAAAAATAGAAATAAAAACAAAGACAAGAGAAGCCAATAATCAGAGGGAGCCGACACCACATTAAAGTATGTCGTTAAAGTATTCTTCAATGTCATAATAGGCCTTCCCCTCCAGCAATTTTACAATACCTCTACGAAATAATTTTGCATTCGATATCTCTTTCAAGTCGGTTGGTAGATGATTATATATTTTAAGGCTTTCGTAAATTAAAGAATTTTTGGTCAAACTAGATCTGGGAACTGGTAGAGGGAGCCTGCCCGACTGCCTTGTTGTACGGACTCCAGATACCACCCCTCCATACTTTTTATGAACCAAACAAACAGTTTCCAAAATAAATAAACAAGTTAACGTTAAAATTTTTGAAGAAAGAAACAGGGGACGGCAATGTTCACGTTGTTTTTTATTATGAAGATAACGGATGGCACGCTTTTGAAGAACGAATGCTGAGTGAAAGGCGTAACCTGGGCAAAACCCCCAAAAGGCCACCCCATAACGTAAAACAGAGTCCACCAGGGAGAAATACACCATTCTTGCCAGTGAATACCCCAACTCTGAAGTAGTCATTCTCACAGCAAAGCAGGCAGAAGCCAGTCGAGCTTTCAATCGCTCTATGTGCTCAATAAATTTTAAGTTCTTGTCGACAATTATTCCTAGAAATTTTACACTAGAGGAACAACCTATTGTTTGCGTCTCCAAATTTATGGGATCAACAGACAATCCAAAGGAAAGAATGTTTGTTTTGGAGATATTAAAACCTATTGTTTGCGTCTCCAAATTTATGGGATCAACAGACAATCCAAAGGAAAGAATGTTTGTTTTGGAGATATTAAAACACAGTTGGTTGCTGTCACACCACTGCTTCATGGAAACAATATCTGCAGTCATCGCCTCATGCAGAGTGGATCTAGGACAGCGCCACAGAGCAGTAGTATCATCCGCAAACCGCGTAAACATACAACTAAGAGGCAAGGAAACAAGATCCTCTACATACATTGAAAACAGTAAAGGTCCCAAAACTGATCCTTGCGGGACTCCTCTAGGATTTAATAGAGGTTTAGAATATGTACTTCTACTACCCACGACCTGAAAACGATCAGACAGCATTGACAGGATCAGTTCACTCGAACGTCCCCGGAAGCCGTATCGCTCCAGTTTTTGCAGCAATATACCGTGACTCACACAATCGAAGGCTTTCGAAAAGTCACAGAATACTGCCGCCACAGAGTCCGATCTAGAAATGAGCCCCAGATAAACCTCCTCTAAAAGATTAAAAATTGCGTCCCCAGTGTTCATACTCTTTCTGAAACCAAATTGTGTATTAGTAATTATTTTATGCTTTTCCAGATGTTCAAGCATTCTGGATTTCATAAGTTTCTCCATGATTTTAGAAATTGACGATAACAAGGAAATCGGCCGAAAGTTGGATGGATCATTAGTATTACCACCCTTATGCAGTGGAATGACTAATGCTGTTTCTAAACAATCGGGAAACACACCTGTAAAAAATGTCAAGTACATTAGATTTACAAGAGTATCCAGAGCTGAGTCCGGGAGATTCATTAAGACTTTAACCGAAACACAGTCAAAACCAGAGGAGTTTTTTTTCTTAATCCCCATAAGCGCAAGTTTGACTTCATCTAGACTTGCAGGAAGAAATTGGAAGGATTCCAGTACATATACCTCTCTGAGATAATCCAGGGGGTTAACAGAGGAAGGTAAGTTGGATGTTAATGTGTCCGCTATGGTACAATAAAAGGTGTTAAGTTTATCCAGTTCGATCTCAATATTTTGGGCCGGTTGACCATTCTTTCCCCGCAGATCATTAATGATATTCCAGCTTTCTCTAGACTTGTTTTGGGCACCCCGAAATCTGACATTATAGTATGCTTTTTTGGCAACCTTTAGAGTCCGTCTGTAGATAGATCGGTACCTGCTAGTATACTCTATAATGGATGCGTTATTTGTGTGTTGCCTAACAGACCAGAGAAATCTCAAATTTTTCCCAGAAATACGAATACCCCTCGTCACCCAAGGTTTCCTTTTTTTAAGTTTTATCCTACGCAATGGAAAACACTTGTTAAAGATATTCAGCAAAACACCGTAAAACTGACTAAAGGGATCCTGGCAAGCAAAAACATTGTTCCAACAATACAATAAGCATTCATTATGAAAAGTTTGGAAATTTCTTTGACTATAGATTCTGCCCATTTTGTGCAAACAAACCTTTTCTGTACCAAAAAGAAGAGCCGATATGAAAATCGCCTTATGATCTCCCATTCCTGGATCAAGGGTTATGGAGGTCACCGTACCCTCCAAATTTGTGCATGCGTAATCTAGCCCTGATTTTGAGGTAGGTGTTACCCTGGTGTACTCCGTATTATGTCTTTTGATATTAAAACTAGCAAGCAAATTTTTGAGGTCGGTGGCATCCCTATATTCCGTCATAAAATCAATATTTAGATCCCCACCCAACACTATCTTGGCTGAAGAAGGAAGCAAGCACAACAAAAGTTCTAGCTTATTTAGAAAGCTCTTGAAACTTTGGGAGGGTGAAGTGTAAACTGAAACAAAGTAAGTGCTATCAGCTGAATCCGCCACCAACGAAAACTCAAACAACCTCTCCTCAATCAAATAATTGAATCTATCAATTGAGCAGAATCTGCGTCTCTCACAAAGCTCAGATTTCATAAGAATTGCCGTACTTCCCCTGCGGAAATTTTTGCGGCAGTAAATTGATGCCACAATGTAACCTTCGACAAAACACACCTGATCCCCAGACAACCAATGCTCACTCAAATAAAGCACATCTGGAAACCCAAGAGCATCAAGAAGTACGAAAAGCTCGCCTGCCTTATTTAAAAATCCCTGGCAGTTAAAAACAAAAAAAGATGTTTCCTGACCAGACCACCCCTTCCCTACTTTCCTGTCACTGAAGGAGTCCCTCTCACTAGAATCTACTAAGCCAACAGTGCTGTCATGTCGGCTCCCATTAAAAAAGATTGTGAAGACACAAATATCTCATCTGATGTAGTTGCCTGATACACAACTGAACTGTTATTAATAGCTAAATTATCTGGGCCTTCATTAATATTAACCAAGTTGGAATTAAATCCACTAATAACTAAATGAACTGAACTAAATGTTATGATATGTAAAAAAGTTAGACACTAAATTTAAAATACAATTAGGAACCACATTCAAGCCAAGCTTGTTCAAAAATTGAGATCTCAAGCCAAAATGCTTTTCTGACATTCTGCAAGAATTATTATTAAAGGAGAGGAGTTTAATATAGCGTGAAAGGTTTTTTGTTACCCGAATTAAAGTTTGGTTTTGAAAATAATTGAAGCCAGGTTTAGTGGGAGTAGTACAGATAATTAAGTTCGAATGAAAACATTTATTGGCTAAAGTAAAAATGTTTTTCTCTGTCACACTGCCACAATGCGGGCCAACAAATAAAACAACAAAATCAGAGACACTAAAGTCTGATATAAATGGCTCAATTCCATCGATGATATTGTCCAAATTGGCATCAGGCTTGCACAGGACTGACAGTTCAAAGCCACTGAACAACTTTTGGGCCAGACTATTATATAAGTATTTACCATAACCATCCGTAAGTAACAAAACTTTATTATTGTTTTCACTAGCATTACTGGTGAATTTGCTGCCGTTGCCGTTACCTTTACCAAATTCACCATCATTAACATTGCTATCCTCGCTGTTCTCACAAACATCAATTCTGTTGGGGTTCGCATTTATCTTACCAGTAATTACAGATGATTGACCATTGAGTTTTTGATCCTTGAGCTGGAGTAATTGCGAGCTGAGACATTCTATTTCTCGTTGATATTTTCCCAGGTCCTCCGTAAGATTAATATTTATTTGTAACATCCTAGTAAC